GACTCTGTCCTGGGCCAACAAAATCCAGTTTCCTTCAACTCCTATCTCGGATAGATCCCGCCTGAGATTATCCTCCCATCTACGTCTAGGTCTCCCCAGCGGTCTCTTCCCTTCAGGTTTCCCAACCAGTACCCGGTGCACACCTCTTGTCCCATCCATGCGCGCTACATGCCCAGCCCATCTCATTCTTCTCAACTTAATCACCCTGACAATATTGGGGGAGGAGTACAGATTTTTAAGCTCGTCATTGTGCAGTTTTCTCCACGCCCCATCGTCTTCCCTCTTAGGCCCAAATATCCTCCTCAACACCCGATTCTCAAACACCTGCAATCTGTGTTCCTCCCTCTGAGTGAGAGACCATGTTTCGCACCCATACAAAACAACAGGCAAGATTATTGTTTTTTATACTTTAATTTTCATGTTCCTTATAAAGCTACAATGAATAAAATAGTTTTGGGACCGGTAACATTCAGATATACTGGATAGTGGAATGATTAGAACCAAGCATATGAGCTAACACTGAGAATGGTCCCATGAACACTGAAACGCTTCTGTTTTGAAAGAAATAGAAAGTATAGAAATGAAGTTGTTTTGTACCATCAAAACTTACGTCTCCGATTCCGTTGTTAACTATTTTTTTAGTAAAGAGCTGCAGTGAAAACCACGTTTGCCAGTGTTCTGTAATTTTCAATGGTTGTAAGTTCTGAAATTACAGTATGCTATGTATTTGTTCCATTCAGTCCCACATACAATGTATGAATCATGTTTGTTTCCGGTAAATATTCGCTTAATATACAAGATATCTGAGGTTTTCGTGTCAGTGAGAATGTGAATTATGAACTTCTGGTTTGTACAACTTCTTAGTCCAACACGTACTTACAGACGCTTCGGAGAAACTCCTCAGTTTCTTGTCTTACAGTGGAAATAGAAGCGATAATTTTTCTGCTACCGTGCTAAACACCTACGATTTCTACCCAGAAGATCACAATCCACATTCTTTTGATTTTTCAACTTATGTTGCTTTGTACTCTTTGAGTTTTAAACAGAGTTCTTTCAGGACTGGGGTCTCATCATAGTGGTCATCAAATCAAAATCTCTACAGCTGTTAAGAGAATTATCTTATTATGACGGATATTGAGGCAGACGTTTTTGAGGGGTTCATATTATAACACTACAAATCAGACTTAAAAGTTTACGGACTTTTCATTTATGAAATATTGCTAATTTGCCCTGCAGCTTCAATAGTTATGCATTAAAACGGTATCCCAAATGTCTGAATGTCATTTAAATTAGATTTATATAAAATTTATAAGTTGATGAAATTTTCATTGTCAATTTTTGTTTCTTACATGCTGTGTTGTTTTTTAGACAATGCGATATTAAATGTCTAGAAATTACTAAGAATCTAGCAAATGCAAATTGCGTATATAAAGAACTGGCTGTTAAACATGAGGTAGATTATATATATTAGGAAAAGGAAACGAAAATGCAGTGGATTTTTGTCAACATTATGGCATGCATAGTAGCAAAATTTTGAAGTAAATTAATGTGTCTATTCACTTACTTTATTCATTTTTCAGGTTATATAAGCATGCTAAAATTAAAATACGCTTATAACGTTACAAACAAATTAGGAAGTAATTTATTGTGTTATGCTCATTTAGGAGACTAATACTGTAGAAGTGTGAGATGATAGGTGAAATGTGACCAACAAAGAGAATTTAGGATATTGTTTTACTTCTGTGTTTAATTTTATATTGACACAAAAGATACCACTGTAAATTAGAAATTTAACTAAAATACAAAATATGTAATGGCTAAAATTCGGGGGAAAATAATGGACATTGGGCAATGTACAATGAAGGACTTTGTTTCAAAATATGATCCAGTTCTTCTGCTAATAATGGTCGTAATATTTTAATGACTGGAATTGTAATTCAGTCTCTATGAGTTTAAAAGTAAGTAGAAGTTTCATTTGAAGTCGACCTAAAATTCATCAGTCTACTGTTGTGAAATTATTTAAACGCGAAAATATATCAAATGAATGTGACATTTAAGAACCTTCACTGCGGGTTTACGTGAAGTACGTAATATATCGCTGTGAATACATTATAATGCTCTATTTTATATCTCCTCAACAGGTAAATTTATTTTTGTGCGTTGGAGCAATTCTTCTGTCCTTACAGAAGAACACGATTGAAGGAGCAAATGTCCTTGGAATTTTTCCATTCCATGTCAAGAGTCACTCTATAACAAGTACGGCTTTAATGAGAGAATTAGCTAACAGAGGACACAATGTTACAGTTCTAAGTATGCATCCTCAGAATAAAAATGTACCTAATTACACAGATGTTGTTCTGAAGTCTACTGTGTTGGACTTAATTGATAACGGTAAGATAATTCACTGAACATCACGATCAAATACAAATCTAGATACATTTATGTTTGTCTTACTTCCCATTGTGCTATTAAATACGTATATATGTCACTACCGCCACGGTGGTCTAGCGGTCAGAACACTAGCATTGTAAGCCTGGGGTCCCGGGTTCAATTCCCGGTGGTGCTTAAATTTATAACTTGTGTTGGGCAAGGCCGTGGTCTAGGCATCACGGAGTTTTCCTCCGGGGGCTTCCCCGGTTTCTCCGTGGCATCCCAACAATTACTCCACTCACACACAGAAGAAGGCAATGGCAAACCACTTCTGATCATCTCTGCCAAGAATGTATATATATATGAGCAGGTCCCTGACAACCTGAAGAGGTTGGAAGGATCCTGTTCATAATATATGGACCTGTCATCAGACAGAACACTACAAATAAAAAAAAAAATATGTCACTAGAATAACGTGTGTGGGGTTAACTGCAATGAATGTATGGGCCTCGAATTTCAAACCAATGAAGGAGTGAAACATATTGAAGACCTTGAATGAAAACTTTTATAAATACCGATGTCTCTGATTTCAACGAAAATCAAAATTGTATATTGTTTGAACATTTTAAATTAAATGTTTCCACACAATCCATTGAGCGCAATATTATAATTTCAGTATTTTGATTACTAAAGGGAATCGTGTCGAATGAAACTTGTTTTACCCCTCATTGAGTTGATGAATTGTATGATGTAACGCAAATTAAATTAGTTACTTAATTTGAACATTGTCAGAAAATATGTCTTATTGCAGGTTCTAACACTGGGTTCAGTAGACAGCGGACTGGAGTGTTTGGAGTACTCAATGTGTTATTCTACTTAAATCAAGTTGTCTGTGACCGACAGTTGCAGGAGGAAGGAGTTCAGAAACTTATTCACTCCACAGACACATATTTTGATATCGTCATTGTTGAAGCGTTTTTCAACGAGTGTTTCCTTGGTTTCGTTCATAAATTCAAAGCTCCTTTAATTCAGATCTGTACGTTTGCCGGTTTTGATTACATGGGGCACTGGGTAGGAAACCCAAATCCTTACTCTTATGTACCAAACCCAATTCTTAAATTTAACGATAGAATGAATATTTGGGAGAGAATGATTAACACGCTTGTGGGAACATTTGTCAGACTCCTGAGGAATCATTACTACTTGCCAGGACAGGATGCAATCATGAGAAAACATTTCAATTATTCCAATAATCTTCCTTCAGTATCTGCCATAGAACACACAACCTCACTTCTTCTTATCAACCATCATTTTAGCATAGGTTATCCTAAACCTCTCATGCCTAACATTATACAGATTGGAGGTATGCATGTAAAATCACCAAAGAAATTACCGCAGGTATGTCTTTCAACGTATACTGCAGTGAAATGTTTTTTGGGTGGGATAATGCTTTATAATAGCAAAGGTATTGTCCATTAAATTATTTATAATTTTATCTATAATCAGGATGTTGAAACGTATCTTGACGAGGCACCAGACGGCGCGATATACTTTAGCTTTGGATCGAACTTGAAAAGTTCTGAAATGCCAGAAAGTACAAGACAAGCTTTTGTGGATGCTTTCTCTAACATCAAACAACGTATTTTATGGAAGTGGGACACGGATACTATGCTCGAGAAGCCCAAAAATGTGAAGCTTGGAAAATGGTTTCCTCAGTCAGACATACTTGGTAAGTGATATTAAATAATTATAATTGTTCTTTTAAAATATTTCTAATTTTAGGAACTGGTATCTTCTATCGGTTTGAATGCAAAATTTAAAGTAAAAGTGTGGTTTCATTCAACCGTCTCCTAAAAAGTTCTGTACGGAGTTTTCTTCCGCTCCTGTATGTAGTTCTGACACATCGTTGTAAATTCACTGCTGAGCACATATTTGTATGTCCTATAAAACGCCCTCAGACTAATGCTCGTACCATTTGTTAGGAAGTTGTGCTGGATACTGAGTTTAAGTTCACTGGAGTGCTTTTATCTTAAATTTACATATTAATATTACTTTCTTTAGCACATCCCAACATACGGCTGTTCATGACACATGGCGGTCTGCTGAGTACACAGGAAGCTATTGATCGAGGTGTCCCTATAATGGGTATTCCAGTCTTTGGAGACCAGCAATTGAACGTGTTGTGGACTGTGTCTAAGGGATTTGGAGTTTTGTTGGATTTCAGTAATGTCACGTCAGAATCAGTTTCCTGGGCTCTGAATGAAGTCCTCAACAATCCCAGGTATTCGACGTGTAAATTACTTTGGTTTGTAAATATTTATTTTAGAGTTTTCTTTGTGAAACAATCCGAACTTTTATATTACCACCCAGGTACCGTGAAAACGCCCAACGCGTGTCCAGAATCTACCGGGACCAGCCACTCACTCCACTGGATCAGGCCGTGTTCTGGACGGAGTACGTGATCAGGCACAAGGGAGCGCCTCACATGCGCTCAGCTGCACTCGACCTCACCTGGTACCAGTACTTCCTGCTAGATGTCATCGCTGTTTTAGCATTAGCAGGTGGTTCTGTCGTCGCTATCCTATTTCTGGCACTCAGAGTAATAAAACACAAGATGTGTGGATCAGGACGGAACAATAATATTTTTGTTGGCCAGGAGAAAAAGGACGGTTAAATTAGTGTATTCAACAGACTTAATTCTACTCACGAAAAGTGGCGAAATAAATGATGCTTGACAATAATATTTAACTTGTAATTACTGACTATCGTGGTCAGAAAATAAGTGGAAAATTCATCAGGATTTGAGTGTGCATTGTGTAGTGTGTGCAATATCGAAAAGTAAAAAATGCATAATCATGCCCGTATGGTAACTAACATAGGTTATGAGATGCAGACATTTTTTCCTTGGCCATAGTCATCCGTTATTGTGAAATCAGGAGAAAAAATTGGCAGGGTGTAGTCAGTTACGTATGTTTATTCACTATAACTAGCTTAAAATGAGGCTGACTTTAATAGTTTAGTTTCTTTGATAGACACCATTGTGTTGGAAAAAAATTAAGGATGTCCTTCAACTTAATATTTAGTATTTCTTTGAAAGAGTCATGAGGCAGTGAATAAATATTAACAATGCATTATTGACATCATACTAATATTGGTTGCAGATGATTGTGTAATATTCCAATATTCTTCACCGATTGCTGTGCCTGGCATTTGAAAGTACCCATTTTGGTTAATCAAATGTTATTGAACTGCCATCGTACAAAATTTCAGTCATCTCAACGCAGAATAACGGAATCAAAAAAATCAACAAACATGCATTAGGAACAATTGACCGCAATGTGATTCATTCTTATTGCTTTTTCATTGTTTTTATATTAATTGTTCTTGAAGTAATCTCACTGCATTTCCAAGTGCACTGTGTTTTCGTGTTTCCGGACACAGTATGACATACGGAGAGGAAATTAGTTTTATTTTATTCACGAATTTATTTAAGTATTCAATCAAGAGTTCTCTATAAAAAAGGCTGTGTTTTTCCACCATCAAGTTTCTGCAAACTGCAGGCCAATATAACTATTTCTAATAGCCTGATTCTATTCCTACACTGACCTCATTCTCTGGTGGGATATACCCTTTTGAATCTTTTCTGCATGAAACAATTTAATGGTTTGTCGAATTATTTTAGGCCAATATTCAGACAGTACTTGAAAAGGTTATGATTGCTTCTTTCAATCATTTACATGTCACTGATGACTAACTGTATCCCACACAAAATAACCTCTACAGTTAACACAGCATCGTGTCTTGCACGCTAGTTTGAAAGAGCTGCTGGCCGTCTTTTGCCTATTTCATGTTGAATAAGAAATTAATATACATGGATATGAAAGTCAGGGGACTGACGTGGTAGTGCAGGGGAGATCTTGTGAGAATGTTTTAGCAGTACCCACGTGGTGCCTGTAGAAACTTCTTAAACGACTCAAACACGTTTCTAGATTAACGCCAAGACGTAATAGGAACATCATCTTGTGAAATAGCAATTTCTGTTCCCCCCTATTTTTTATGCATTATCTTTATTTCTGAACTTAAACGATACTGCGGACGGACAAATTTCTATATTCTCCGACGCGAATCATAATTCTCCAGTTGTAGGTATACCAATTATGGGATTCAGAGATAAATCTTATTTTCACCTGGAAACGTGTTGTATTATACAGGAATTATGATCACCTCTGATAATCTGCGACATTTACTAGAACTGAATTGAGACTCCGAATGCTATTATCATCGTCACTCGAAATGATTTAGCCAAGATTCATTTCTCTACTGCCTCTTCAGAAGATCCACACTTGCGGTCTACAGATACACATTTGGTGATTGAAATTGGCCAATCCGATTTCCGAAACTTTGTTATAAATTAAATGTAAAGTAAAAAATGTACAAAGTAATTAATTTGTACAAAGTATAAATAAATTTACAATTGTGCAGAATCTGGTGTCATTTATTTTACCGCATCTATACTGCTGTCATCATCGATTCAGGCATCGACACTTCACTGGAGTAGTCATGTTCGACCGCTGAGGTAGACGAAAACATGATTTGTGGCTCCCCCCTTACCAAGAAGAGCCGGTTTTTAATCAATTCCACTGTCAGCGAGTCAAATGTCCGTCCGTTCGTCATTTGCCGAAGAAACGGGTTTTCCCCCTCTCTTTTGGGTTACGATGTCCCAGTTCAGCTATCGCAAGATAATAGTCACTCCTGGATGGGCCTTAAAATTTCAACGGGGTCGGTCAGGCAATTTACAAAAAGAAAGACAATACAAACCCGTTAATGATAATATGAAGATATAACATTTACAATTACAACAAAAGTCAAAAGCAACTATCCATGAACATCCTCATATTCAGGCCATGGTCCTTGAAAATATAAGGCTACAAATTAAAAAGGGAAAAAGGTGAAGTTCAAATTACATAGCAACAAAATCGAAGCACAGAACGTATACAATTTGACGAACTAAATAAAGCACTTTCAAAACGTTATAATCTTTGAGATACTACCTAAATAAAACCAGAATTCGATCACGTCAAATTCACAGCAAACAATCTCACAAAGTAATAAAGTGAGCCGTGTTGCATCTTGCCAGCTGCTTTGCCTTTGACAATATTCTACATGGGAGATATATCCAAATTAAATAATTGTAATTGTCTGTCAAATATACGAGGGTCGCTCATTAAGTAATGCCCCACATTTTTTTCCTCAGAACATATTTATTCAAGATGGCTGAAATTTAGTGACAATATAAATCAATGTTTCCTTTACACATACTATTTTTCCACATAGTCCCCATCAACTTGTACGGTTTTACGCCAGCGTGGAACAAGTGCATGCATCCCTTGCCGGTACCAGCTCTTGTCCTGTGCACGTAGCCATGTCCTCACTGCTTGAATCACGCTCTCGTCATCTTCAAATCTTGTTCCGCGGATAGCATCTTTAAGTGGCCCAAAGAGATGAAAGTCGGAGGGTGCCAGATCTGGACTGTAGGGGGGATGGGGTAGCACCGTCCAACCCAATTTGGTGATTTCTTCCCGGGTTCTCAGACTTGTGTGAGGGCGTGCATTGTCGTGCAGGAGCAAAATTTCTGCTGGATGCTTGTGAGGCCAAACTCGTCGAAAACGCTTCTTGAGGGTTTTCAGGGTCCTGATGTACGCGTCTGAATTGATGGTCGCACCTCTTGGCATCACATCCACAAGAATGACCCCATCACTGTCCCAAAAGACAGTCATCATGACTTTTCCGGCGGAGGGAGTTGTCTTGAATTTCTTCTTTCTCGGTGATTGAGGATGATGCCACTCCATTGACTGCCTTTTTGTCTCTGGCTCAAAGTGGTGTATCCAGGTTTCGTCACCTGTAATGATCCGGGACAGAAAGACCTCTCCCTCAGCATCAAAACGCTCCAACAATTCAGAAGAAATCGTTTTCCTTTGAATCCTGTGGTCTGCTGTGAGACTTCGTGGAACCCATCTTGCGCACACCTTCGAATATGCGAGAGCCTGGATAATTGCAATCACACTTCCATTGCTGACTGAAAGCTGTTGGGCCAATTGTCGAGTTGTGATGCGCCGATCCTCACGAATAATGGCATCCGCGCGGTTCAACATGTCTGGAGTGGTGGCTGTGGCAGGACGCCCAGAGCGCGGCAGATCACGGAGCTCGGTTTCTTCACTTCCTGAAGCTTTAACTCTCTTAGCCCAGCGACCAACGGTGCTCCTATCGACTGCACAGCTTCCATACACAGCACACAAACGTTTATGAATGTTCACCACCGTTTCTTTTTCAGCAACAAGGAATTCAATTACAGCTCGTTGCTTGTAACGAGAGTCGTTCACAGACGCCCGTATGTGGGCCGATTTCCTTTATGCGGTGTCACGTTTAAAGATATTTCTTGGTTTTCTGGACGCTGATTTCAATCTACGAAGATGGCTGTGTTCTTGGTTCTACCGACGTGTGGTCTGGTAGAAGTTTACCAAATTTTCACACTAAAGATGGCGGCGGCAAGG